ATTCGCTATTTACTTTTATTTTAAAATTAAATAGCGCTTAAGTATTATCTTTTATTCGTAAATTAATAGATAGACTAAGCGATAAAATTAGATACTAGAATACTTCTTATATATATTCGCTAATAATAAGTAAAATATTTAGATAAAATAATTATTAATAGTAGAGTTCGCTTATATAAATAGTTAATATTCCTTTATTAAAATAATATTATTCTTTCTAATATATAAATATTATTCTAAAATTCGTTAAAAGATTAAGAATAACTTTATTAAGAGAGAGATACTCGCTATAAATAATAGAATAAAGAAGTTATAAGTATTAAGAAATAAAATAGTAGAGTATCTTCGTAGCGCTATTATAGCTTAGTTTAAATATTATAATAAAATATATTAGTTTTAAAGCTATAAGATAGATAATTTAGTAATATTAGCGATTAAGAATCTAAAGTAAAAACGTCTAAATAAGAAGTTATCTTATAAATTTATAAAATTATTTTAAATTATAGATAAGATAGAGATATAGACGTATTATTTACTTCTATTCTCGATATATAAAATTTATAATATCTTTTATATATTATTACTTAAGTTTTATTATCTTCGCGATTATAATAATATAGCGAAAGCCTTTATATAAACTTTCGATCTTATTAATAATAATAAACTTTAAGAGATTAAAGAAATTATTAATAAGATTAAGTATAAGAAAGACGTCTAATATAAAGTTAAATAAATTAATTAAGACGAAGAGTATAATTAATAACTATTAAATAATAAACTAATTAATACTAGTAAGCTAATTTAAGTCTATAAGTAGATAAGTAATAAATAAAAGTACTAAGTAATAAATAATAAGTCTCTTATTATTAAAGAGCTCGATTAACTATATAAATTAACGACGAGTAAGTAAAAATAATAAAATAAGATATAATTATCGATTAGATTAAATATATTTCTAGATAATACTTATACTACGCGCGTACTCCTCTATTCTTACTACTATTAAGATGAAGTTTATTATATTAAGATATATACTATTAATATAGACGTATTTTTACTTAGAGTAGTTATTAAAGAACTATCTAGAGACCCTACGCTAGCGCTACTATTAAAAAAAATCATCGCTATTTAAGTATTCTTCGCTATCTTAGCGTTAAATATTAAATTAAATTTATTAATCTAATTCTTTAATAAGAAGATAATTAAAGTATAATCTTCGAGTTAATACTTATTAATATTCGTTATATATCGATAGAGGCTCTTAAGCTTCTTCTCTAGTAATTTATTTATTTTCTCTAATTTCTTTATACGCTTATATATTATTATAAGTTAATCTTAAAAATTTATAATTATAATAAAGGCGATCGAAGTTATTATTATTATATATCTCTATAACTTATATTATTAAATAATCTTCTTATCAAGCTTAGCTCGTCGATAAAATAGCTTTCGAGATTATTTAGCGCGGCGATAGCGTTATATTAATTTTCTTATTTATATTTAAAGATATATAGAAATTTTAATATAATAGCTAATATCGCGTCTTTCGATCTTATAATTATTATAGAAAGAAGATTTATTTTAAATATATAAATTATTATCTTAATAAAAGTAAGTTTTATATAATAAATTAAATACTAGAACTTATTAGTAGATATATATATAGAGCGATAGTAATAGAAATAGTTAAGGGTTAGTAGTCGCGTCTATAAGACGACTATATACTTATTATTAAAATTATTATTATTATTAAAAAAGAATATTATAAAATTATTAGTTTATATATTAACGCGATTAATAATAATAAGATACTTACGATAAAGAGAAGTAGATTACTAGTATAATAAGATATATTATACTTATATTAATATTAATATTAATATCGACGTTATAACGTTAAAGTAAGTACTTATAAGAGAAGTATTAGAAGTTATAAAGAATAAAAATAAATAATTTAAAAGAGGTTTTTATATTCTTTATTATAGCGCTAATACTAGCGAGTAATACTTAATAATATAGATAGTAGCGACGCGGTAATATTTCGCTATTATCTATAAAACCGCGTCGCCTAGCTACTATTATTATTTCTACTATTATTATTAATTAATAATTAAGAACGTTATTACGAACGCGTCGCTCTATTAATTATTTTCTTCGAATTCTTATAATAAAGATTATTATTACGTTACTTCGCTATAAATATAATATACTATAGAAATAACGTTATTTATAAAAGAACTCTTCTTTCTTCTTTATCTACTAGATTTTCGAGGTTTTATTATAAATTTTTAAATCTAATATTATTCGCTATAGAAGCTATTAACTAGCGCTATAAGAATATTAATATTAAGCGTATTAACTTATTATAGATTATTATTAACTAATATTATAAAAGTAATATTATTCTCGAAGATAGTATTAATATTATTATATAATATATTAGTTACGCGCTTACAACGCGTAAGAATTAATTTTATTATATTATTAAAATAATATTATAATCTTAATAAATTAACTCTTTTCCCTTATTTTTCTATTAAAATTTAAAGGTTTTTTAATAAGCGTTTTATTTTTACTTAGACGTCTAGGGATTAGAGTTTAGAAGGGGAGATAATTATTAAGTCTAATACGTTATAGACCTTAGCGCTACTTACGCTAAGGTATCGATATTATATATATTATATTAGAGTTTCTTTTAGAGTCTAGTTTTAATAACGTGCTCTATATACTTAGAAGCTTAACGAATATAAATTTACTTTATATATCTTAAAGTTTTAATATTTCTTAGAGATTAATTCTACTATTAAATATACTATTAAATTCTATAACGATACTATATCTTTTATAGTCTATACCCGCTAGCTAATCGCTAGTAAACTACGCTCTTATATATAGAGAACGTCGCTCGAATATAACTATTTTCCCTCTTAAATTAATTAAATAATTTTATTTATCTTCTTATTACTAGTCTTAGAGACCTTTAACTTAATATCTAATAACTCTTAATATATAATATTAGAGAAATCTCGCTCTATTAGATTCTCCTCTAAATCGTTTATCTCGTTAAAGGAATTATAATATACTTCTAGCCTATAGTATAGAATAATAAACTTATACTTTAGAAGTATTTTATAATAAGTATTCTTCTTTCGTAGATACTTCTAATATTTCTTCTTTATAATTCGATATCGTATCTTCTTTATCTAATCTCGCTTCTCTTTAGAAACCGTAATTTACTATATAAATACGACTTCTTTAATTATAAGACGATCGTTATTTAATATTAGTCTTCGAAAGATAGATTTAATCTTTCGAACTCGATTCTCGCTAAATAATAGTCGATTTTATTAATTTAGAAGAATATTATCGGCGTGAAGCTTAGTAAATCCCTTTTTAAGCTTACGAAGCCGAAGTTCTACTATAAGACTTTAATATAGAATCTTAAGAAGCTTTATTTAAAGTTATAGTTACTATATAATTTTTAAAGTCTTTAATAACGGCCGTTTAAGCTCGAATAGCTCTAGCTTTAAAGTTATAGAATAATCTTTCTAAGATAAACGCTTATATATCTTTTAAGAATATAATAATACGAGATTAATAGCTTTAAAGCCTATTTAAATTACTTTAAAACGAAATATATACTCTTATACTTAAGTATAAAGATTAATAAATAGATCTTTATTAATAGAGTCTATATTAAGCTCGAATTTTTTATTAATAATATCTCTATATACTTTCTATAGTAATTTAAAAATAGCAACGTTAAGTAATTATAAGAGATATATCGTATAAGAAGATAAATATAAGAAAAGAATTCTTCGAGCGTAATATATTATAACGAATTACTACGTAATATAATTATTATAGTTATTTAGAATTAATAATCGATATATAATATCGTATATTACTTCTTTAATAATAAGATTAAAGACTTCTATTAGCTACTTTATAGTAAGCTTTAAATTCGTTTAGCCTTATAGACTAATAGCTATCTTTATTCTATTTATAAGATTCTATTCCTATTAGCTACTTTATTAATTTTTATTTTTAAAGACGAGAGTCGATAAAATAGTTTACTCTATAGAGTTAACGGCCTTAATAATTATAACTAATTCTTGATTTTCTAGCTAAGTCTTAAATTGACGTTTATCTTTAATTTTTATAATAACTTTCGCTTTAAAGACTATATCTATAAGAACCTCTTTCTCGTTAAAATTATAGATATTTTTTATAAGAATCTTATACTCGATAATAACGCTAATTAGGAAACTAAATTAACGACGAATTATTTCAAGATATATAATCTTCGCTCGATTATTATCTAATACTCTACTATATATAGTTTTTAATTAATTATTACATTTCAGAAATTATTTCATCTATCGTTTATTTACACGTATATTTATATCCTCTATTTTTATTTAAAGAAGTTCTAAAGTTATAATATATAGAGCGTTTACTCTAGATAAATATTCTTATTTAATTAATTTTATACATTAGTCAGCTAGAATATTCTTCTCTTCTTAAATAAAATGCTTCTATAACTCTAATTCTTATATACGAGTCTTTCGACTATAAATATAAGTATATAATAAGAATATAAAGACGTTAAATTTAATAGCGAGCTTACTAAGTTTCTAAGTAGAATTCTTCTATTATAATTCTATTACTTTAATTATATAAATTTCGAGAGTAACGACCTTAGAAGACTTCTTCTAAGTTATAATTATTTAATTAAATATTATAAGCTAGATATTAGACTAGTAGTAGAGAGGACGAAGAAGGGGTAGAGAAATAGCGGGGTAGATATTTGAACTTTATTATTTTGTAGAAAGACCCTTATTAATAAATCTATACTATATACGATTAGACTACTAAGTTTTATATATGCTTACTAAGATTCTCGAAGCCCAGTTATTCTCGTTATCCGATCATGGACGTTAACTCTATCTGGACTGGAGATAATGACTGAGTAACAGCCTATTATAGTATGTCTTCGCATGTCTTTACCGCCTAACTTAGTCGATCTTCTCCAAATAGCAACAATTACTGACGCACTATCTGAAGAGTATCTGCTTATGATTGCTACTGTGTCTTATGTTAATGTCCCAGGGAAAAAAGACCTTTTTCTCCTTCTTGTGTTGGAATTGTACCACGACGCACCGAAGAAATACTTCGAGATGCTTACGATAGCTATGAAAAAGAGCTTTCCACAGTGGATACAAATACTACCGCACACTCTCAAAGAGAACAACGCCGAGGACAACCAGTCTTCAAGATCTAGATTGTCCACAATCTATGATCCTCTTGCCAGTCGAGTTAGCACGCAACTTGTTGAGCAAATTGACCGAGATGTTAATGAGAAGAAGAAGAACAGTTCTCTGTTCAGGTTCTATCGTAAGCCGACGTGTAAAAAAAGGGGCCTTCTATCTTACTTACTATAGCAGTGCACTGCTTAGAATACCATTTACATCGTCGGTATTTCATGTTTTGGGGCATAGATGGATTGTTTGGCGGCATACATGATATGTCTCCATTCATCAGTGGTGTCAATCAGGCAATTCGTGATGCTATTGATAAGTGTCTTGACAATATGGCGGATAGACTGAGGACATTTTTCGCACAAGTCTATAGATTGTCGGGAGGAGTTCAGCTCCAAGACATCTCCTGGGAAAATACGGATATACTCCTACTCTATGGAGTTTCTGGCTCTGGAAAGACGAGAAGCATCGAGGGCCTTCTTCACGAACACTGGGGCTACTATCTTCTGCCCGGTAATCTCAGTCTGAATCAGCAACGTGATTGCGATAACTTGTACGACCCTCTACGGGGGGGATATTCAAGAGATTCGTGCTTGCTATGGCAGTTGATCGAGAATCTCGGCAATGTTGTGCCTGGGATGGATATCCGCAAATATTCAATTACGGAGTGGTCTCGCCGTCTTATACTATCACGTCATTTGGTGTTCGACAAGTTCCTTGAAGTTGCCTCAAAAATACATGGGGCTGACACGCCTGCGAACTGGCTAAGGTTTCAGAAGTCTTGTTCTACTATTGATCCTTTCGAGACAATATTCAGGCTACTGTTACTAGACAATAGTTGGGAAACTCACTTGGGCTTGAGCAACCATATGACCCGTGTGGACAAGGTGCTTAGAGAGAAGACTTTCATTTATTGCCTTGATGAAGCGCAGTGCTATCTCGACACCCTTGTTCCCATCGGAAATTCGAAGACAAGAAACCTTTTAAAGGTATTTTCTGATGTCATTTCAATCGACTCTAGGCGGCGATATCAAGACCAGAGATACGTCGTCTCTGGAACATCTCTGAAGTTGAAGGAGACAATCTCAATTCTCGAAAGCACTCAACAATTTCCCAAACGCGGACTACGAGTTTGGCCCGGGCGTTTGCTCACCACATGTAAGACATTTACAAAATTCCCACTCCTCACAAATGGCGACCAACTAGCGAAACTGATCGAAGAGGATGGGCTCAATCGGAAAAACGAAGAGGATGGGCTCAATAAGAAAATCAAAGCGAATCCGGAGGTGTTGAATCTCATCAAGGAGCATGGTATTCGGCTGCGGGGACGATACTTGTGGTCAGTTCGATATGTGGAGCATCTGAAAGGCCACGATAACTTGGATTCGACTGCCATATCTACTGCCGCGGATAGCGCTATGCGGGAAGCTAAGGAGTCCTTGAAGAAGAGACTATCTCGGCTCCGGAGAGACAATCACGACGCCATCTTACAGGAGCTGTGCTGGGTTGTCATTCAAAGCGATCTTTTAGACAGGCCGACAATCTTCGAAAAGGACGAGGATCATCAAATGATTACGGAAGCATTTGCCGTAGTCGAGACGCATGGAGAATCTCTAAAAGGCACCTTGAAAGAGTATCTTGCTATGGACGCGGCCAAGGAGTGGTTTCGAGAGGAGAACAAAGATATGTATAATGACATGTTCAAAAAGTATTTACGGTTCTCAACGAACGATGCAGCATCTTTTGGGAAAGCTGCAGAGTGGTTTTTAGCATTGGTAAGAATTGATACTTACGGTAGGTACAATATATACTAATTAGATCGTAGGAATTGTGGAATTGTCTACATCATTCGGATCGCATGACTGGGTCAGAAGGCGAAAAACGTCGTGAAGAGATTTTGGAATTTCTTTTCGAGGCTGGTGAAGACGGCAAAGAGCACAAAGCATCCACATACCATCTGGTCGAAGGAAGAAACATTGGTTATTCACACGATAGAAATAAGAGCTTTCATAGCAGGTTAGCGAGAGAATACCATCGTCACTGGACCCTGCTAATCGTCAACAGTGGGAAAAATGAAAATCCCAATTCTGGTTCCGTTGTTCCAATATGGGAATGGATGAAATCGATCCGGGAAAAGGATCCCACACCAATTGCTAGCTTCTACTTCCCTGATAATTATTGTGGACCAGACATCGTATTCTCGTTGGAACCCACAGACAGCTCCGAACCCCGAGTCTTGTGTGTTTTGCAGGTGAGTTTGGGACCGAGCGCAGAAGCTGATGGCCTACTGACTTTCGTGCGCTTGAAAAGCTGAAAACGGGGGCTGTGGATGACATGGGGAAAGCGATTCGGACGACAGATTTATGGATGTCTTATGGAGGGGGCAGATGAAGGCAAGGAAAGGGAAGCAGATGAAGGCAAGGAAGCAGATGAAGGAAGAGCTCGCAAAATGGGAGGGCGCAAAAGTTATTCGGATTCTGGCCAGTACTGCGACAAATCACCAACAAAAACATGCCATGGAATTGTTAGAGGAGGAAGAGCAGCCACATGGTCAACTATTTCGTCTATGCGACAAGAAAAAGACGGCAAATCTTTTTGGAGAATTTTTCACAAATCTGATAGATGCGAGGACATCCCCTAAAAAAGATTTTGACTCGTTATTCGAAACCCGGTACGGAACGAAAAGGGGGCACGCAGAAGCCTTTCCGAAGGGGAAGGGTGATAGGGTCAAAGGAAAAGGCAAAGTTCCAGAAGGCCGGCACTAAGTGTTTGGAGCTTGCATGATTCAACATCGTGTCAGTTTCTAAGTATATGGGCCACTTGTGTCCAGCGTGTTTCAACAACATGTATGTTTAGTGTAGTGGGGATTCATATCAAGCATGATTCAACATCATGTCTTCTTATACAACAAGTGAAAGTATAATCAATCCGCTTGAAATGTGCACAAGGCAACCAATTCAACCTCGACTGCGCTGCGTCCCTTCTATGTAGTACGAGGAGCCCCAACGGCTTCCTTCGGTGGCACGGTGGTTTATTGTTTTGCTTGGCAATCTCAGGATACGAATCCCGATCCCAGGCAGATTGGCGACCCTAGGAGAAGATGAGACAGGATCGATTCCCCGGGCTATCGCCTTGCTCGCTCCTGCTCCTTATCCACTCACTCTGCCCCCTATCTACTCGCTCCTCCTTGCGCTGCACCCGTGATCCCTCTAAAGCACGCTTGTTCTTTTTGCGGAACGAGAACGGTAGGTCCCAGTCCTAAGCTCGGTATGGATGTATATGTGTAAATTATTCAAAACGTGTTGTTGTGACTACCAACAAAGCGCTCGAAACGATGTAGAAGACGACTCCTCTCGCGCACCTAACTTGACAATGGCAAAAACACAACAGCTCAGCCATCATCTATGTCCCCCCTTGCTCTGTATCCATCAGAGCCCGCAGCTGCTTTCTTTATATCCATGCCTTGGGCCCATTCTCGCGGAGAGGCCTTACAATAATATGTGCTGGGGCGCGGGCTTCCCAGTAGTGAAAAGCTTGCCGAGTACTGGTTTTTGATTGTTTAATTCTTAGGGAGATCCCCTAAAACCCCTCGAACCCTTCGAAGGCTCTTTAAAGACTCTCCGAGGGCTTCTATCGAAGGGATTATTAAAGTAAACTCGAAATTTAATTATTTTAATAATATTTAATTAATTTTAAGCTTACTTTAATAATCTCTTCGATAAAAGCTCTTAAAGAGCTCTTAAAAGACTTCGAAGAATTTAAGAAATTTTAAGAAATCTAACTTTGAAAATCGAGAGAGACGTTATATTTTATTAAGAATTAAGAGAGATATTATAATTTATTTAATATACTTAGAGAGAAATTCTCTAAAATCTCTCTAATTCTCTAAGAATTCTTTAAGAGCTTTTCGAGAGCTTCTATCGAAGAGACTCTTCTCGTAAACTCGATAGATAAATAATTTATTAAATCTCATTTACGCTACGTTATTTAAAAGCGTATAAATAATTCTATAACTCTATATACTTAGTTTATTATTATATTTTTAATAAAAGAAAAGAATTTAAAAAGATAAATTTAAATATTTTAAAGTTTTCTTTTAACTTTCTCTTTTAAATATACTTATATATACTCGCGTTTAAATCGAAAATAAAGAAATAAGATATATTTTAAATTAAAAATAGTAAAATTCGATAATCTAATTAGTTACTAGCTTCTTAGCGTAGAAGTTATTTAAAATTTTAACTCTTAAATATTAAGAAAGTAAGCTTTTTAATAATCTTATTTATTTTTCAATTTTATATATATATTATTATACGCTATAAGTAGATTATTTAATAGAATAATTAAAATAGCTATAAATAAATTTTTAATAGAAATTTATAAAGTTTAAAAAGATTTATAAATTTTTATAAAAAAATTAACTTAGATTATTTTTTAATAGTAGTAATATATTCTTAATTTATCGCTATATCTTTAATAAATATAATAAACTTTAAAAACTTAATTTATATAATAAAGAATTAATACTTTTTAAAATTAATATATAGTTAAAATTAATATAAACGCTATTAAAAAAGAGAATTATAAGTTCTAAGCGAGAGAACTCTAGATTACTTAACTTATATACGTTTAATATATACTTAGCGAAGTCTTAGCGAATAAGCTTAAATAAGTAATTTTCTTCGAGTTTTCTTTATTTATTTAAGAATTAGTTTTACTATTAAATCGATATATAAATATATCTATCTTTTTAATTTTATATTACTATATAACTCTAAAGCTCTTTAAATCTAATAATTTTAATTCTTTTATTCTTTTTAGAGATAGCGATTTAAAATTAATATAGTAATTATAATTAAAGCGTAGTTATAATATTTATAAAATAAATTATTATTAATTAATATAATATTAAAATAAAATATTATTATAGTATAATTAAAGATATTAAGATATATTATAAACTTTATAAAGAGATCTTTATACTATTTATAGATAATAATCTAGCGAAGAAATTAAGTAATAGTAATAATAATAATAATACTATTTATAATTAAGAGAGTATCTCTAGTAAAAAGCGAGATATTAATAAATAGATTAATAAATCTATTTATATTCTAAATAATAAAATAGAATATATTACTCGCTATCGAGATATATTTATATAAAAATATTATTTTTAATCTCTAAAAGCGAAGATTATTTTATTTAAATTAGATAAAATATTTATAAATTATAATTATAATAATAACGATAATATATTACAATTATTAGCGATTTTAGAAATAAAGAGAATTATAAATAATTTTAATTTTAAATATAATAATATTATCTAATAGTCTTAAAAGATAATTCGATTAAAGAAATTATTAATTTATTATAAAAAGAGTATTTAAAAGTATTAAGCTCTAATATAAAAGATAAATAAAGTATTTTATCTAATCTCGAAAAACTTTCTTATTAAAAAAAATAAGATTCTTTAAAGTTATTAATCTCTTAATAATAATTAAAAAAAATATAAATTAATAAGAAGAATAGATTTTCGAATTATAACTATATATAATAGAAGTTTATTAACTTTTTATTAAATTAAATTAAAGATTTAATAAATTATAGATTTAACGTTATTTAAGTATATATAAAAATTAATTAAAAATTAAATTAAACTATATATTAATTTAATAATTATCTTTAATTATTAAAAGTATAAATAAATCTCTATATTAAGAATTAATAAATATATTACTTATTTATAAAGCTTTATATAAATCTTCGCTATTAATTAATTAATATTTAAATTATATTAATAAAGCGAGATAAGCTTCTAATATTTATAATATACTTAAAGAATAATAAGAGAAAGTAAGATTTTATTAGAGAATACGAAGTAGGTAATATTTTTACTTCGTAAGAGAATTAATATTAAGAAAATTGAAATCTTTAATATAATAAATCGTAGTTATCGCGAAGATAAAATAAATTCGATTTAAGAGAAAAACGATTTTAAGATTATAAGTTTAAGAATAAATTTAAGAATAATAAGTCTTATTTAAATTACTAGTCGAAAAGATATAATATATCTTATAAGATATTTTATATTAAGTAATATTATATCGTATTCGAATATAATATAAATAAAGTTAAATATTATATTATTTTTCTAATATAAATTCGAGATCTTAACGATATATATTATAATATAATATATTTATAATATTAATATATATAAAAGAATAAGATAGAGTTAAGTTTAAAAATCTTAAATTTATATATATAGCTAATTATAAATTCGAGTTCTCTACGCTTTTTAACTAGACTATTTAAATTATCGCGGGTAAATAAATTAGCGTTCGCAATTATTAAAATCTCTCTTCTCGCGTCTTTCTTATTAAAAAAATAGATATAGATTATTAATATATAGAATAACTTTTTTATCTTCTATTAAATTTTGAAGATTTTTTTTTTAAATTGTAGAACGAGATATAGGCTTTCAGATAAAAAAAGAATTCTTAAATTTAGTCTTATAATTATTAAAGCGTAAGGAATTTAAATATCGCTCACTAAAGATCGCTCACCAAAGACCGCTCATCAAATTTACTCGATAGTTCTAATTAAAAAAAACGATTATGAATTTAATTCATAGGCCTTTACTCGTTATATTATAAAATAATATATATATAAAATATTCTAACTAAGATTTCTATATTTAAAAGTATAAGTAGTTATTCTAGTTATTATTCTAGTTAACGACTACTTTTATTCGATAAATTTAATATAATAACTATTACTATTATAGCTATTACTATTATAGCTATTACTATTATAACTATTATTATTATAACTATTACTATTATAACTATTATTATTATAACTACTTTTATTATAACTATTTCTATTATAATAACTTTTATTATAATTATCTTATTATAACTATTACTATTATAACTATTATATAATAATAGATTATTTTAATAATAAATAATAATAGCTATAATAGTAATAGTTATAATAGTAATAGCTATTAAAATATTAGATATATAATATATAAAACGAATAAATTAATTCTCTAAAATCTCTTTAAGATTAGATTTTAAATATAGTATAAAATTAAATAGCTAAAAAATATAATAGCTAAAATACGCGAGAGTTATATTTCGATAATAGTTATAATAATAATAGTTATAATAGTAATAGTTATAATAGTAATAGTAATAATAGTAATAATTATAATAGTAATAGTTATAGTAGTAATAGCTATAGTAGTAATAGTTATTATATCGAATTTATCGTACTTATACTTTTAAATATAGAAATTTTAATTAAAATATCTTATATATATATTATTTTATAATATAATATTATAGATATATTATATTATAATATATATCGTTAAG